GGCCGCTTAAAATGCCAAGCTTCCCGCTCTCATGATGCCAAGAACGTCAGGAGGGCACCAGCTTTAATGCCCTATGCAGCATAAAGCCATGTGTAAAACAAACACCTACTAATTAGAAATTCTATTAAGAATTCCTTTGGTAAGATTTAAACTCTGCACGTGTGTGTGTGTGTGTGTGTGTGTGTATACATATACATATATATGTATATATATATACGACTCCTGAAGTAGTCAGATCTTTATGCGAAGGTTAAATAGACAGCTAACTAGACAGCCCTAAATGCACGAGAATATAAATATTTCCATACATTGATCAGCAGACCTCAGTGAAAGCACAGAAGAAATTCTGGCCACAATTACCACCCACCTTTCTGAACCTGGACAGATTCCAGAATGACACTTTGGCACATAAAAAGAAGAATATTTCGAGTAGGCAGCTCACGTTGTTTTTCTGCTCTTCCTGCTCTATACCAATCCTTGGAAAGCCGAAAGCCATCACAAGAACAAAGGATGCACCCACCCCCTTTGACTAAACACTCCATCACCAGGGCAGTTAGGTACCTGCAAATGCTGCACCTGCATACTGGGAGCTCAAACTGCAAACACCGCTTTATGTAAATTCAAAAGCACACAGGGGTGGACTGTGTGTGTGTGTGTGTGTGTGTGTGTGTGTGTGACATTCATGTGCCCCTGTGTGTTATTTTAACCATTGTTCATGCAAGGCCAACCACAACGCTTTCCTAAGTATCAAAATCAGCATCAGTGGAATCGAATGCTATCTTTTTAGGTATCTGCTATGAAAGAAAAATAGTTAGCAATAATTTAGAAAATGTCCACCGTCCATCTGGAAAACTGGAATTAACTCCTGCTTCTGACAGTTCTGACAGTACCACTCAACCGCTTTAAAGACTATAAAGCCTTAAGGACCTGCCCCCTGGGGATTCCAGGGGAGGTTGTTTATGCCAGGAGGGGATGGTATATGCAGTTGGCTACAGTATCTTTTCTGATGCAAACAGCCAGAACTTAACAACACAGCTGAAACCGATTGTTTTCCCTCTGGTCATCCAGATATTTATTTTTTTAATTTATACTCCAGGAATTATTAATAAACGTAAATGACTTGCCAGATTCCCGAGCTAGAACTGCAATTTCCCCCACCAGCTGGGAAAGCTGGCACAGAAAATAACAAAGGTAGGTGTCTGACATGCCTTTGACCCTTGAGGCCCATATCTTTAGGTGATGTAACTTGTTTTCCTCTGGTTTGGGAATGTTACTTCTCAGGTTGGGTAAACAAGGCGAAAGAGAACCAACTTAGCTTCAGAGTTACAAAGCTCCAGTGTTACAAAGTCTAGGCAAAGCACCCAGAAATTTCCAGTGGATGGGAAGGTGGTAAAGAAAGACTAATTGCCCCCCCCCCCGCCCCCGCCCCCAGCTAAGGGTCTATCTCCTGTCCATCTTGAGTCACTGTAAAAAGTTCTAAAGAATGGCCCGGTGGAGGGATCCTCTAAGAATGCACGCACTTGAAACCTGCATGCTTTACCACTGCGGATGCTATTTAAATGAAAGCGTTCTGACTTGAGTTATTTTGAGGAAGATTTTAAGCCCAAACCTCTAAGAGACTGCCTAGTCTCAGGAAGCCGCCTCCTCTCTGGCTAAGAGCCAAGAAAGGAATATAAGCAACTAAGTGCTTGGCGGCTGGGCTGGAATCCCACTGGGCCACAGCACATGTCCATTAACAGGAGATTCAGGGTGGCATAAAACAACATCCACAACCAGGTGTATGCTTAAGAAAACAGTTTGTCCAGAAGACCTTAGGATACAAGATGCACAAGACTCTGCATCCTGTGTTTACCTGCTGTGTTTTCAAGGTCTCCCCAGAAAGCAAGGAGGAATTGTGCACCCTGTCATCCTGGATCCCATCCCACTGGAAAGCACGTCACTGTCACAATCTCACATCTTGTAACCATATATGATTAAAACAAAAGGTAGACTTGAAGGCGTGAGGGAAGGAACTTGCCTTCTGGTTCAGAATTATGCAAACAGTGAAATATCCACAGAAGTCATTTATACAGTTACTAAACACACCTTCAACATAAAATTAATCATTCATTCTTCCCAACATTTTTTAAGCCCCCAAAGACATAAACTTGCACGCTAAGGAAATGGCCAAGAAAATGCACACATATACTTAACTCGCGTCTACAAAGAAAGCAGAGAAAGACTGCTATTACTGTGAACATCAAAAGGGCTCCTAGTTCAGTAACTTCGGTTCACTTACTGTGGCTTACACGCAGGCTGGCTGTCTGCCTCCAACACTTTGAGCACCTCCGGCTCTCCCCGGGCTTTAAGCCTGATCTCAATCCCACGAGAAAAGTACCCAGGCAGATGTTCTCAAGGACTCATATTATTGACAACAATGGAACGACACTATAAAGACATTTACAAAAATAGTCCTTCGCCACACAACCCCCTACAACATTTGCAACGCTATTTAACACGCTGGACGTGTCACTGAGGGCGACACCAAATTACACGTCCAAGTTCACCGTTTCATCTTTACCCCGCCCACCAATTCCTAGCCTTTGAAAATAATAATGTCACTCTAAAAGGCAAAAGCTTGCGGGAGAAGAAACTAGTTTTTCAGGAACCAGTTTTCATTCATTTGGCTGCAAACAAATGCCCCCATGAGGAGGTCTGCACGTGGGCCACACCGTCCCCGGAGCCGACAACAGTGCACCACAGGGAACCGATCCCACGCGCTGGACTGTCTGGAGGCTGCAGGGAGCCGGCATGATATTATCCCCCCAACTCGGCTCCTCGCAGTCCCTGAGACTTGCCCGGGCGTTACACCGCGGAGGGGAGGCACGTCGCTCCCCCAGCGCGATCCTGCTCTGGCGACGGTTCTGCCCCGAGAGTAGTTCCTGGGCTTAAGCCACCGGCAGGGTGGCCGGCGCCGGCTAGTTGTTCGCAAGCACACCCCGCGGCCGGCCCGCCCCTGAAATCCGGGCGCCCGCAACAGGTCTGGGGCTGCAGGGGAAACTTACAGCAGTAGGCGACTGGCCTCCGCACACAACCAGCTAGGGTTCTTGCCTCGGTCACCCGCAGGGAGCCAACGGAGGGCGTCTCGGTCTCAGGAAAAGGTGGCGATCACCAGGGAGAAAGGAGTGCCGGGAGGAGAGGCGACTGCGCCGGGGGTAGTGGCTCCCGGGTTGGCTCTGGCAGGCAGCTCGCCTCGGCCTCCGGATCTGCAGCTGCGGACCTGGCGCCCCGGCCGGGCCAAGCGTCTGCCGGGCGCTCGCCTAGCCAGGGGAGAGTGAGCCTGCGGCGGCCGCGCGGCGGAGGAAGGCGGGCTGAGCGCTGGGGGAGGGAGGGAGCGAAGCTGCGGCGTGAGTGCGGACGGCCGCCTGGCGTCTGCTCTGGGTCTCTGCAGCGCCTTCGTCGTGCGCCTAGAGCAGAGGCTGCAGGAGCGTACTGAGCCGGGCCAACGCGCACCGGGCTATAAGTTGCGCGTCCGCCCGGGAGGGGGCGCGTATGCAAAGAGATTCGTCGGGGAGGGGGGAGGGAGGAAGCGCGTCCACAGAGCCGTCAGGAGCGGGTGGTGCTGGGGAAAGAGCTGTAGGGGGAGTTATCGGGAGAGGAAGCGGGGGGGGGGGGGGGGGGAAGGGGGCGGGGAGTGCTCGGAGACAAAGCGGACGCCTTGGCTCAGCTCCGGGCAGCTGCAGCCTCCGGGGACTGTGCAGAAAATAAGTTTGAGGGGCTCCGATGGTTTTTGCCTCTTTGGGTCAACCTAATTCAAGGCTAGCTCGGGATTTGGGGAGCGCCCCCGCAGGGGAAAGCAGCCCTGAACTGTGGGTTCAGTGGTGCCGGTGTTCATGGGATGCTCAGTTTAGTGGCCCAGGGCCAAGCTGGGGTTCCGCAGCATCGGCGCGTGTAGCCATTCACTGGGCTGGACATCCCAGCTGCAGGCAGAACCTACTACCCACGGGGCAAGGGTAGAAGCCCAAGTCTGGACCCTGGCGACGCTGCAGGTCGCGCAAGTGGGACGTGGGCTTACTTGCTGGCAGGGGGCCAGACTCCAACTCCAGGCACTTGCCGGGTGTCGTACCTCCCCACCCCAAGCTGGACTCTGCCCCACGCGGTGCTGGAGCCGCTGCAACTCAGACTCAATTCTGCGGGCCCACGTGTTTTGCAACCAATCACCAGGGCCGCTAGATTCAAAGAAGCAGCCACACCGCCGCCTTCCTTTGGGGAGAAGTCACCTTAGAGACTTAGCCTTTCCTGTTTTTTGTAGGTTGGTGGTGTTTGGAGTTGAGTCAAGAAGTAACCCCAACACACACACACACACACACACACACACACACACACGCACAGCCTTGAGAGCCTGGCAAAGAAGGGAAAGCTATCCAAAAAGAAGAAATTCACGTGGCGACCCCTGATTCTGACCCTCACTCTTGGCTTCTGTGCCAGGGGTTTGTATTTTGGATGGGAGCTAAAACGCCCCTTTGCGTTGGCTTTTATTCCGTATTTAATATAGAGTCTAGGGACGAGCAGTATAGATTATTGGTCCAAACCTTTATTATACAGGTGAGGAAAAAGAGGTCTTGGGAGATGTGAATTGCCTGGCTGGGGATCTGCACCCCCTCAATAGTGGCCCAGACAGGAGATCGACTTTAATACACCACCACCACCACCACCACCACCCGCGCGCGCGCGTTCTTCCTTAAAACACCAGGCGTAACAATGGTTTAAATCGGCTAAGGAGGCTCCACATGGCGCTTCCTGAGACCACAGACTGCTAAAACCAGTACGGTCGGTTTTTTATCCCAGCTCTACTTCTGGCTATTATTCGGGCTGATAAATTTTGCTCATCGCAAAGAAAGACAGTGCCCTCTTAAGTCCTTTCTTAGCATTAACACGCCAGCCTCACTGCAGCCTCTTCAAATCTGTTTCTTATTTTAATCTTTTGATACAGAGTCTTGGCTCCATTTTTCTTTACAAAGTCAGAAAAGCTCGAGGGATTCGAGGTAAGAAGCAGGTGCAGAGGCCTGAGGGCAGCAGCGAGCCAGCTAGGCGAGCAGAACTTAGTGCCCGAGGAGAGAAGAAGAAAAACGGCGCCCAGTAAGTGGAAACTCTGCACACAGCAGAGCAGGCCCTGAAAGAGGGAGGTGGAAGCGGGTCGCTGTTGCGGGTCTTTAAAAACACGGTTCTGTATCGTGTGGCCCGGTTTGAGAGGCACCAGGGCCAACTCCTGGCCCCTTTCTTTCTGTTTTCATCTATCTGGGTTTGAGTCAAACACAAATCTGTTGGTTTAGGGGACCAACAGTTAATGCCTTCTAGTGAGGCAATGGTCTATTAAGAAGTAAACACGTTTTCTCTTTTGACAAAATATGCCCAGCTTTCTCCCAGAGCCACCTCGATGTTGCTGCTTAGGAGGTGTGCATACCTCAGCTGGTTGGCTGGAGACCTTGCCAGGAGAAGCCCCCTGGCAAAGGACAGATAATCATTTCTATTGCATCTACCACCTGGAAACAGCAGTCTCCACAACCAAGGAAACAGTAGGGCTCCCTTCTCTTTGCAGAGAAGCAGGGCTGAAAGAGTTAGTCCCACCACTATCCACTGATGTATCTTTTCTGCCTAATGTTGCCACTTCCAATGTTTCAAATCAAGAAAACAAAATCGCAGCCTGGAAAATCCTGAACTGACCATATATACATCCCTTCATCTGCTACTGAAAGATAAGCAAGGCGGGGTGACGGAATTTGTTTAGGGAGGTTATCCAAACTGGAAACCACTGAAAGAAACAGGACCCACAGAAACTGGATCCCCACAGACTAACAACGGTCTGCTTGAGCCAGTGTGTGGAAAATTCTTCAGGCTGCTGGGCAGCTTCTAATGCCTTTATCAAGGCTGTGGGTGATTTGCAAGTTAGTGGATTTATGATCATAGAAACTCAAACTATGTCATTTTTTATGACATCTCTCGGCCAATGGGAAAAGTCATTCTTATCACCCTGCTTACAGGAAACAAAGGTGATCCCTCTACACAGACAGGAAGAAAACGCTCCTCAGGATTGTGACTGCTCTAAACCACAACAGACCCAGCCAATAGATGAGACGTCACACCTCAGGAAATGTTACCAGGCTGCTTTGTACAACAGCCAGTGCTTGGTTCAGGATGTCAGGCTGGTCCTGCAGGCCCCTGGGAAAATGTCTTTGCCTGGCCTTGGGACACTAAGCCAAGGTCTCCGGGTTTTTGTTTTTGTTTTGTTTTTTAATGCTGTTAGGAAGCTGTGCCCAAGGCTTTTGGCCTTGTTATCTTCCTTAACAACCTTATTTTGTTAGGGCTGCAAAATCAGCAGCAAGGGGTTAAATGTATTAGCTGCCTTCAAACCTAATCTGTCTTCATTCATTCCTAATTTACACTCGGGCTGAATTAATGAGAATGATTTAATTAACACCGTACAATCATGGTACCAGGGACTGGACAGCTCAGGGGATTAGACTAAACTGGGCCAAGCAGCTGCCACCCTGCCTCTTGCAGGTTCCCTGAGCCTTACCCAAATTCAGACAAGTCCCCTGCTGGGATTCCAGAAGGGCCCTCTTTATTCTTAGACTCACTTCCTTGATCTGTGTGAGGGAGAAGGCACAACCCTTCTTCCTGTGGAATTCCCTGCTGGGGCTTTTGAGAACCTTGCCCAGTAGAGTCAACATGGCAGAGGACCAAATGCCCACCTAAGGTGTGATTGCCAGTCTTTGCTGTCAATGTGACTGGATTTAGAATCACCTAGGAGACACACCTCAGGGCATGTCTCTGAGGGTATTTTCAGAGAGTTTCAATTGAGGAAGACCCACCCTGAAAGTAAACAGCGAGGTAAGATGGGCTTGGGGTTTCCGGGCTGAATAAATTGGGGAGGGGGAGGGAATGAGCTGACCACAAACACTCATCTCTCCCTGCTTTGCTGGAGACGCTGTGACCAGCCACCTCACACTCCTCTATTCCTTCCCCCACCGTGGGCTTTCTTTTTTTAAAAGTTATAAGCCCAAATAAACCTTCTCTCCCCCTTACCTTGCTTCTTTTTAAGTATTTGGTAACAGCAACACCAAAAAGTAAGAAACACCCAGGATCTGTGCTTTTCTTTCCGTCCTGTGGAATTCATGCTAGGAAGTGCACATCTAGCAAGGGATGCTACGTTCTGGTCTGGAAGAGAAGGAGGAAAAGGGAATCCCTAAGGGGAGAGGTTGAAGTGGGACCTGGGATGCTGACATCACCTGCCCAGTTCTCCAGGGAAGGAGAGTAGACTTAGCTTCTGCAGCCTACTGTCCTCACCTGTTAAGGCAGGCAGCTAGCAGAGGGACTGTGGCTTGTGCAAGGTAGTACTTTCTTACTGGCGGCCCTGAAGGTGACCAGAGCCACTAGCGAATGCGGGGGTCGGTTCTTCATTACCGAAAGAGGACCAGAAGGGCCCAGCACGGTCCGCCACAGCACTTCGCCTACCGACATCCCTAGGGAGAGAGACCATAGAACCTGTCAGCCGTCCTCTTATTTCAAAAAGAGGAGAATTGAGCTATAGTTAACAAGAAAGGAACACTGTCAGCGCTCAGTGGGTCTCAGAACACAGTAGGTCGGTATCACAGGGCTTGCTGGGAAAAAACGAGGGGCCTCGGCAGTCTTGTTCTTGTTATTACGTTTGTGTTTTCGTCTGCCTTTGTTCTCTTTAAGAAATTAGTATTTGTATTCAGGACTTTGCTAAATCTAGACAGTATTGAGACTGTTGAAATTGGTACGGTCATATTTTAGCATTCCAGTTGTTTCTTAAAGTACAATGCACATGCTACTTTATATTTTGTGAATCAAATCAGTTATTAAAAAATAAGTTTTTTTAAATTTTGATTTCCAGTTGCTCGTGCACGGTTGCCTTTTGTCTTTTGGTTTTCAGTGAAGAGTTTCATGGGACATGTTGCCTTTGTTCCTATTGGCCTCTTCTATGGGGGTTGTTATTGGTGGGCGATGCCCTCGTCCTTTCAGCCTTCCTCACCTCATCCGGCCTCCAGTGACATTTGGGGGAGTGATGGAGGCATCTGAGCCAGCGACTCTTAGTATGTTTCGAATCTAGTCCAGTTACAGCATTTCTCCTCAAAGCCCTAGAAGACAGTGATCCGTGTGGACTGGCGTGGGTTGTAGGAGCAGGGTTTTGAAGCAGTCTTTTTTTTTTTTTAGCCATTTTCTCTGATTACAAAAGCAATGCATGATAAAATGTAGACACTACAGAAAGGAACAAAGAGAACCGTAGTCCACCACACGGGAGATAATGACATCGGCGTTTCGGTTCCAGTGTGTAGACGTTAGACAGTTGAGGACAGAAACTTGAGAACACAGCTTGGATTCCTGCGTGCACATTTACTGGTGGAGTGAGTGTTGAGGGGGCGAGGACGGTACATTCAGAGTAGTTCAGTTTTCTCAGCTAAAACACAAGAGGAGGAGATTGTCTTACAGATTAAATAAACTGGGGCATATTCAGTCCGATGATGGGGGCACACACCTTTGATCCCAGAAGGCAGAGACAGGCAATTCTCTGGGAGTTCGAGGCCAGCCTGGTCTACAGAGCAAGTTCCAAGACTATCAGGGCTATGCAGAGAAACCCTGTCTCAGAAAAAAAAAAAAGAAAGAAAGGAAGGAAGAAAGAAAAGAAAAGCTAAATAAATAAATAAAGGCATATGTAAGACATGAGCCATGGGACCTTGCTAACAGTGAGCATGCTATGCGCTTGTTTTTATGTGGATTGAAGAAACTGTTTACAGAGAATGGTGTTTCTATAATCTCTGACATATTCCCAAGGGACCCTCCTAAATAAAAGACAAGGGTGACTTGAATCCTTCCGGAAATCCCTTCTTCCCACAGCTTCACATCATATTGAAGGGACACCTTCATGCCTCAAATGTGCTCTCTTATCCCCCAGGGAAGGATATCATTATTATTATTGTTATTAGTATTAGTATTAGTATTAGTATTAGTATGGTGCCAGAGATTGGACTCAGGACCCTGTGCATGCTAAACTCACTCTGCCCCTAAGCTGTACTCCACTCACTCTGATTATTGGTTCCAGGCTTCCTTGTCAGGAAGGAACATGGCATCTGCAATACATACAAGCTCAGACCCGCGGGGTCTGCCGGTCCTTTGTCCTTCATTGATGCTGTCTTCCTGTTTTGTGCTGGAACCAACCGGTGATAGAAAAATTATTCTTTTCTCTGTTCCTTTAAAAAAAAGAAGAAGAAGAAGAAGCTGGTGCAAAGAAAAGTATTTTTAAAACTCATTCTGTAAAATGAAGCAGCTAGCTGCCTTTAGAAGAATGTAGCCTAGCTAAAAAGAGAGCAAATATGGGGTACAGGCGCCCCTGTTTCCTGCCCCGAAGCTCTTGCAGGGTGTGTGTGATAAGGGTTCCCTGGTACCTATCAGAATCGCACCAGGCGTCTGTAGGGTGTGACCTTACACAGCCTCGGGGAATCTTGAACTATTTTTCCCCCTCCTGTTTTCCATAATCTTTTCAGTACCCCAAGGCTCCAGGACTAAACTCCTAATTTGTTCTAAGTAATTACATTCAAGAATCGACCGTTGTGCCAAGCAATGAAAAATGAAGGTTTTGTTTGGCCTGGATGCTGTGCTTCTCGGGCGGGATGCCAAGTCTCTGAGCAGGTCTCAGCATGAAGAAGGGACCAGAAGAAGGGACCTTTGTGGTCCAAGGCCTTGCACCTCTGAATGAATATTTAAATGATTTTATAGCCGTCTGTGAGTACAGACTTTACTCAATGGTGCAGCACACCTCAGACGGGAGGCTGAAGTCACCATGAATCATATGAAAAGGGAGGGTTGTTCATCACTGTCTTACACACGCATCAGGTGAAAAGTGCAACATAAGAGAGACTATGAGCTCACATATGTATGTATGTGTGTGCCTACATGGATAACATAAAGAGACATTCATACATTTCCCTGAGTATCATAAGAAAATATTTTCAATATAAAATTAACTCTACAAAAATAGGTATTTAAGATAGTTTGCTGCTTTCCACAGCCACAACTGTGTGAGAAGTTTTCTTTACAAGGCCTGTGTTTCTGCGATGTTTGGGGGTCACAGGGGTTCACTGTACTAGAAGAGACAGCCCAGTCTTTCTCCCAAGCTCCACTGATTTATTCTGCATCTTTTCTGAGATACCTAAGATGTTAAAAATTTGAGGCAACACCAAAGGTGTGTTGTGATTTTTTCAGATAGTGCTTTTTTCTAGGTAGAACGTCGATGGATTTTTCTGAACCTATTTTGACCAGTTTGTCTATTTCAAAAATTCCACATATAAATTTCAATAATTTGTCATATCCTAAATTCTTTATGCATGCCGTATTACAAACAAAAATTCCCCTAAGCTGGTCGTTGGTGGCACACACCTTTTACTCTCAGCACTCAGGAGACAGAGTCTAGGGGACTGAGTTCGAGGCCAGCCTGGTCTAAAGCGTGAGTTCCAGGACAGCCAGTTCTGTTACATAGAGAAATCCTGTCTCCAAAAACAAAACAAAAACCTTCCTTCTCCTCATACCTACTAGTCACCTGAGAAATGATACTGTTACCCAACAAACCCAGGAAAAGACCACAAGGGTGGCGTCGATGCCTCAGAGTGGAATTACATAAAGCAACAGTGCCCTCTTGTGGCTGTAGTGAAGGTGCATGTACGAAAGGGTCTGAGAACATGCAAAACCAATACACAGAGAAAAGTGAACAAGCTCTACAAATTCCCGTGGGTTATTTTGAGCTCCAGGCGTTTAGATGAACAAAGGGAAACTGTAGCCGAGGGTTTGGCCAGTCTGCAATACTGGCCAGTCTTACAGTGACCCAGTGGCCTACAGACAGGCGAGCAGAGGGCAGGTCTGGGTCACTGACCTCCTCAACACAGGCTGAACAATTCCGAGCCTGCCAGTCTCCTGCTACTCCTTCTAAATACAGGGTAAAGTTCAGTTGTCCTGAGACCCAGGGACAGAACCTGTTAGTGATGGAACTCTCGTTTCTATGCTTAACGTGTGTAAGCACCATATTTACCTAAAGGACTAAGATCTCAGGCGATGAGCACACCAGAGCTGAGTTCTTAATCACTGAACTACACTGTGTCTTCTATTTTCCTGGTCTCAGTGCCTGCTTTCCTGCCCCTCAGGCGTGCTGCCTTGCTCATTCTCTCTCTCTCTCTCTCTCTCTCTCTCTCTCTCTCTCTCTCTCTGTCTTTCTCTGTCTGTCTCCCTGTGTTTCTGCCTCTGTTCTCTCTGTGTGTCTCTGTCTCTCTCTGTCTGTCTCCCTGTGTCTGTCTGTGTCTGTCTCTCTCTGTCTCACACACACACACACACACACACACACACACACTGGGTTTGGGGGACTAGAAGGCATGCATTGCTTGATTTACTTTGCTCCATGTTGACAAGCTTGATAACAGTGTGACAAATCAGAAGCTGGAATCAATTGACTCAAATTATACTGTTGTTTTAATCCGCTTTACCCTTTCTCCATAGTTGATTGAACATCTTACCGGATCGTGTTTTCATTCTGGCACACTGTACCCACTAGAGATTGGTACATCAACTCACAAGCAAAGGAATGTCTTCATCAAATTGCTCTTTCAAATTTAGTTTAGACATAGTTTCTCAGCTAGGGAACTGAGGCACTGTTTCCCCTGCTATGATCAAGCCCCAAGTAGTGAGAGAAACATCTTCCCACTTCAATGTCTGCAGCCCAAAGGCCCAGGGGAGCTCATGTGTCCTCTTGGAAAGATCTAGAGAGAAAACGCAATTGAAAACAAAGGAAGCTTTTAACTTCTTGGCTGGACCCAGCAATTGTGACATTTGGTTTTAAAACCCAACATACACAGATTATGCAAAAGTTTGAAATCTTTATGTCGGACAATGGTTTACAGATGTGAAGGACCTTGTTAGTGGGTAGTCACAGGGTGAGCGCGCTGTGCTGTGTTCCACTCCTTAAAGATGCCAAACATAGTAAAACTTCACTTGTCTAGAATCCAACCAACCCGAGAGAATGATCAGTACAACATTCTTCTCACACTGACCATATAGAGGACCGAGTCCTTTCAAAAAGCAAATGATGTCCACTAAAGTAACAAATCCATAAGCAATCTCTCAAGAGGGTGAATTAGTCGGGAGGATCAGGGCAACACTGATTTAAAACCTGGAGAGTGCGAAAGGGAACCTGCCACCTGCAGCCTTTAAAGGGGTTGGAGAGGAGGAGGGGCAGGGACAGCTGCCTCTCCTCTTGTCCCACTGAACTGACAGGTGTGTGCTTGTAAGCTCAAGACAGGAGAGACGAGTCAAGAGTTGGTACCTCAGCTTGGTACCAGAGGACCCAGAGTTGGTTCCTGGCTCCCACAGGGAAACTGAAACCAACTGTAACCCCAGTACCCAGTGATCTGGCGCCCTCTTCAGGATTCTTTGGATGGTGTAAACACCAGGTGTGCTTCCAAGCACGCGGGCAAATATTCATACACATAAAGTTAAACATATCTTTTTAAAAGATAGAGATTTAAGCTGAGGATGGTGGCGCATGCCTTTAATCCCAGCACTTGGGAGGCAGAGGCAGGGGCATCTCTGTGAGTTTGAGGCCAGCTTGGTCTACGGAGGGAGTTCCAGGACATTCAGGGCTACACAGAAAAACCCTGTTTGAAAAAAAAGATGGACATGCCAGTTAACAAAAATTTGGCTTGTTTCACGATGGCAGCAGCGTGGGAGCAGCCTCCTCTCTCACGGTGACAGGCTGCTAGGACCTTTGCACTGGCTGCAGCGAAGCAGCTGTGTTTCCCAGGCGCAGTAGAAAGCAGCTGCTTACAGAAAGTTTAATGTTTGGGGTGTTTCCAAGCCTCATAACCCTCAAATGCCCTCGGAAACGTGGGTATCATCAATACCGGGCTTCATTTCCTGGATAGAAACTAAGTTGGAGGGACCCAGGGTCCTACCTTGGACCGTAGATTTGCCAAGTGGGTTTACTGTAGCCTGCACCGTCTGTTTCTTGGTTTGTTTTTGCCTCCATTTAGCGTCTTTGTTCCTTCCGGTGTGTCCAGGCCTCAGACCAATGCACAGCAGCAATAACACAAGAAGAAAGTACACCCTGTATGAATGAATAGTTTACCAAATAAATGCCCCTTCCTTTGGCCTTGCAAAGAACTATTGAAACTGGCCTCTTTGCTCTGGGCCTAGCTTGCTAAAGCAAGAAAGCCTAAGAAAACATCTTAAGTCAATTTTTGTGTTGGGCTAAACCCAAACGATTTACCTTGCGCTATTTGGAAAACCTCATCTCCAGAATATTTTTACTTAATCAGAATTTCACTCTTAGGATCACATTCAGAGGCTCATGAAAAGAAAATCCCCCCTGAGTCTCCAAAGGAGGGCAATTGCTGACATGCGAAGAATAAGCCTGTGTAAATAGCTCGGGTCCACTTTGAAGCCCAGGCCATTCCAAACACAAACTACCCAGCGCTCCGCTCTGTGATAAGGTGAGTTAATTGCCCCAGCAGCAAGTCACCCAAAGGCTGAGGTTGTTTATTTCTGCTCCTTGGTGATTAATTGGTCTGTGTCCCTTGGTGTAAGAGATGGCAAACCTATCTCCAGGTGGAGAAGGGCCACAGTAGGGGGAGGGAGTGGTGTTCATTCTAATATTCCACACCAATCCTGCCTGCCGGGGTCTGGGTAGCTAAGTCTGTTAAGAACTCTACATAAAGCAGGGTTTATGCCAAACAAATTAGGATATGGCTCAAGAATCATCTTAACCCCGAGTCTTAACTCTGGGTAAAGAGTTTACACTGTCGGCAAATAGCAAATCGCTTGTGTGGCACCTGCCTGTGACCCCAGAAGCAAAGGTAAAGCAGAGGGGTTGTGGGTTGAAGGACAACCTGGATTACATAGCGAGACCCTGTACCTGTTCTGGTGATGGAACAATGGTGGTAACACTGTCTTTGACCTTGCCAAAGAACAGTAGGACTCCATGGCTGCAGGCTTTCTTTTGCTGTCCTTTGGGTGTATGCACACGTGTGTGGGTGCGTGTGTGTACACATATGTGTGGGCACGTGGAGGCCAGAGGCCAGCATCTACTATCTTCTCTTTCTCACCACCTTGTTCCTTGGAGACAGAGCTTCGCTGAGGCTGGAGCTCATTGGTTTGGGTTGGCTGTCTGGTTAATGAGCGCCAGGGACCTGTTCATCTCCAGCCCTCCCCTCACCCACACCCCTACGGCTGGCTGGTGCTGCAGCTTCTCAGCTGCACCTCACTTTCCCATGGCTGCTGGGGAGCCCAGCACAGGTCCTCCTCTTTCTGCACTTACTGGCTGAGCTATCTCCTGACGTGGGCATTTTTTGTGGCAGGGTCTTGTGAAGTAAGAAAAGGGCAGCTCCGCCCTAGCAAGAAATCCAATTAGGTCAAATCAAACTGAATCAAAATGCCCATCGTTTTATTAAAGATGATGCTCTCGGGTGGC